CTCCCCCCCCAACATTTAACCGACCAGCCCTAGACCGAGACCTGTGTGTCAGTGGAAAGTTGGGTGTGAAAACGCTGTCCATCACTCTCTTTTTGTTCGGCGTGAGGGGCAGTTTCACCAAATTTTAATATCATGCTGTCTTGGCTTGTCTTATGCAGGCTGTGCAGGTTGCAGTGAAAATTTCCCCTCATCAAGCTTTACCTGTCGGCGTGTTTCGCGGATCAGAGCGTGTGTTTAGAGGTAGTGACCGTGCGTTTGTGTGTCTAAATTACATAGTAAAAACCTCGTCAGATGACGAAAGCGTGCGTTTGAGCGGAGCGTGCTTTTGTATGGCGTGCGTTTAGGCGGAGACTACTGTATGATATGTGGTTAGAAAAAGAATCATAGACTCATACTCATAGACTGCTGATCATTGATTTATGTACTGCCTGATTATTCAGAGTTCCTTCTTTATTCCCTTTCAGATTGTGTACATGCTCATGTCTCTGCAATTCAACGCTCGTATTCGAGTGAAGACTTACACTGATGAGCTGACACCTATTGACTCGGTCTGCTCGGTTTTCCAGGGAGCAAACTGGTACGAGCGTGAGGTGAGTTGAGTTGACCTGGTGCCAATTATGACCCATGAAGATGAAAAGAGGGAAAGAAAAGAAAAGAAATGGCTGTATATTTATCGTTTGAGACAAGGTGTGCTGCAATGGCTTGTTCTTGGGAATATATAGCAGTTTTTATATCATGGCTGTTGGGGAAAAAAAATGAGTGACTCTGTCTGACTAATTGATACGGGGTTAGTACTTACTTTTCCGATCCAGCAGCCATTTGGATTCTAGCCCTCCGGCCTTTACAGGGTTAGTACAAAACATTGGAGTTACTTATTTTTGTTGCAACAGCAACATCATCAAAAAAAAATGTGTACTCTATTTGGCATCGCAAATATTGCTTGCCCAACCACATACACGCCTTTACAAGTTGCAATGTTTCACTGAGCCTGCTTAACTCATTAACTGCCAGGGGTTGAAATCCCATTAAACCCTTGGCTGCCAGCATTTCAAGGATGTTTTAGTTTTAAAACATTCATTGTGTCATAACTGTTCAAAGAAAGCACTTGTAATTAATTTCACTATTTGTCATTTTTGTGTTGTGTTTTATTCAGGTGAAAACAGATTATCAACAGGCGTCCTACTTTTGTATGCATGATTATTTGAGAAACATGGACAAAAATAAACATAGAATTGCTTTAGACACTGGTTGAAGAAGTGCATGAAGAAACCTCTAAGGCACATTTTTTTACCCTTCTTAACTGAATAATCGGGATCTAAGAATTGTAAGTCTACTTTTTAAAGGATTTTGCATGCCTTGTTCAATATTGGAATCCATAGAAATGAACATTTTTTCATTCAGAGGCTGGACGATGTGTAAGTTTAACCTAAAACCTTGACGGCTTGAAACGCACCCAGATCTAAAAAATACCCATTGTAACTCACCTCACCAAAGCCCCCCCCCCCCCCCCCCCCCCATACAAAACACTAATGGATGAAGTGACTCAAGTACGTAATTAAATAGACAATAAATAGAAATATTTTCTTGTACTCCAACTGCCGAGACCAATTGCAGGTTGGAAAATGGTGAAAAAACGATGAAGAAACAAAAATCGACAGGGGTGGGGGTTCGGCGTTTCTCATATATCTCTAGGCCAACTGTCGGTGACAGTCAGTCAGTTGTTTAAGCCAGGGTTAATCCGTCTGGCCCACTGATGGTCTGCAGTAAAGAGCAGTCGTCACCGACATGGCGTAACATCTATTGTGAACCCGTGTACAGTATCCACTCCCCCACAAATTTCCTTGGTATTGATCAAATCAATGAAATAAAAAAAATCAGCTTTCAAATTGAATCTTCTATGTGATTTAAGCATTGACAATAGTTTAATCGTTAATATATGTGGGAAAAAAAGCCCCCTCCTTTGTGAGAGGGAGAGGCATTTTATTGTGTATGATGAGTCATGAACATTTTTAAAATGAAACATGCATTAAATTAAAATTAGTTTATAGCTCATTTTGAAACTTTATTTTACATTAGGCTAGATTACCCTTTATTGGATGAAAGAAAATTATTTATTGTTACACAAAGGTAGCCTGAGAATGAAATGTGAATGCTTGTTTCTGGCAAGTGTACTTTATCATATAACCTACTTTATGTGAAAAGTCAAAGACATTTCATGAATCCATAGACAACCGAGCTTCAGAAATGTAGTTTAGACTGTGCTTGCCTGTACCATTGTATACACTTACTGAGCTGAACACATTTCCATTGTTTTGTTCTATTTCAACACTAGTTGTAATTTTTTTAATAAACAAATTTTTATAATTTTTAAAATGCTTTTCAGATATGGGACATGTATGGTGTATTTTTCGCCAACCACCCAGACTTGCGACGCATTCTTACTGACTATGGTTTTGAGGGACATCCATTCAGAAAAGATTTCCCTCTGTCCGGATATGTTGAGGTGGGCACAAATTTGAGATGTGACAATTCAGCAGTCTTTATCTGATGTACTTCCATAGAAGGAAAGTACTTTATATTATAATCTTGAGTGCTTTGTTATGTTATTGTCTTTCATGTTTTGACGTGATAGTTGCTGGGGTCTGTTTATTTTTTAAAAAAATCTTTATTCAGTAGTTTACTTTGCAAAGGCATTTTTCAAAACTCTGAATTGGGTATTTATTTCTAGTGTTGGAATGGTGATTATATCCTTTTTTGTCTGCCCAAAATATGATCAGTTCAGCATTTCCACTTCTGACTATTTGCACTAATACTAATAGTCACTTGTATCAGTTTTGACATCAGTTATATTACGTTCCGTTACATATAAAAATATGTGAGGCAGCGTGGTGGAATCAGGCTCTCGTCAATTTTTGAGCTTGTAGAGTTATTGTTATCATCTTAAAGCTTGTTCACTTGTCTTTATTTGGTTGAAAAATATATCAATTTATCTTGAATACAAGTCGAGATATTTTTGAATGAAGGAGGTGGGGGTCACCTGTTTTCAGAGGTAAAATTAGTGAGAAAATGGCCGCCGAAGATTAGTTATTTCCTTAACTTAAGAGTCCGTCATAACTGAAAATTTACATTTTTTGTGCCTTTAATCAACGTTTTAAAGAAAAATCCACACAGAAATGAGTTCTTTTATGGGCATGAAAGGTGTTAAGCCAAAAAACAAAATTTTGATAAAAATTCACAAACCTGCGGAAAAAGGCAAGTTCTTCACTTTGATTATTTTGACGAGAGCCTGATTCCACCATGCTGCCTCACATATTTATTTTCCAAACTTCTTTATGCATGAGGCGTTGTAGAACTGTATGACAAAGGGGAATGAGGGGTGACAGGTCGCTTATTAAACTCTATAATTTCCCTGTGTGTCCTCAGGTGCGCTATGATGATGAAGTGAAGAGAGTGGTGGTGGAACCCATTGAGCTAAGCCAGGAGTTCAGGAAGTTTGAAGCCAACACACCATGGGAGACGTTTCCCAACTTCAGACAGGTGGAAGGAGGAGAGACGGAAGCAGCTGCAAAACCAGAAGAGAAACAGTAATCGGCCTCTCAAATAAATAATGTCTTAGTTCATGTTTGTTTTTTCTGAAAGTGAAATCAACTGTAGCTGATGTGCCGTTATAATCTTCTTCAGCAAGCAAGCGCAACCTCCTCTAGAGGCCCTCTAGGTCATCAAAGGGGACAGGGAGACCTTTCTTGAGACTGGCACTCAGTGACCAAAATGAAAGTTGGACAAGTGGACGGTTTTGGGTATTAACAATGTGGATAACAATCTTCCTTTACAGTTTTATAAACCCTTGTGACAGTTTTGTTATAGTTATAATTGAACAGAATGATGGCCTCACTAAGCTGAGAATTGGCACTGTAAGATAACGCAAGTTCATTTTTTAGCCAGCCCATAAAGTTGTTGTGGTTCAGTGTGTGATAAGACAAAACTTTTAGTAGTTTAACTGACTTCTACATGCTTAGTTCCTTTTGCGAAGTGTTTGTCAGGGAGACATTTGTGCTTTTGAGATGACGCATGTGACAAAAGAGTTAAAAAATTGACCGTGGATGTTACATATATAAATTGTAGTCATAAATTATTCCTTTGTGATTAAATATGACTCGTACTTCATTTGTGTTTTGAAATTCTTTATTTAGTTTATATTTTTTAAATCTTTACAAATTGGGTTCGTGGTTTTATTTGTGCTCAAGAAAGAAACCAAAATGAATATTTTCCTTGGTCTCCTTAATATCACTATTTATTATGGGGAGGCATAAGACATTGAACAATCTTAGAGAAGATACAAATGCTCCAGAGAATTTTGTACAACCCCCCTTGTTTCTTCATCTCTTCATCTTTGCAGTTCTGCAAACAAAAGGTCTTTCCCTTAGAGGACACCAGCGTGTAACTTGTAGCCTACTATTTGGTTGGTTTTGTAGCCCGCCAAGCATCCCATTCTATTAAATTATGTCATGTAAAGAGGAATTGTGGAGAATCTAATTAATAATTTTGGTAGACTGCTGACAGTCTGATCCATTTGCACCCAAGCTTGAAGAGTACCAGCTTGATCATAAAATTCCACTTCCTAAATGATTGGATTTCTTTTGTTTTAGTACTTTAAGCTTGCCATACCCAATCATGTCTGTGGTGAAGTACTTAGGCGTTTTGCCACAGCGCACAGAAGACGCAGGTTTGATTCCCCTGTTGGGAGGTATTTTTATTTTGAGTGTATTCCTCTGTTTCTTGGGATGTTGTATCCCTCTTGGCACAGGCTGACCCTTACAGGCAGGGTCAAAGTCGAAGCATCTGGCCTCCTAAATGATCTAAAGTGTGTCAATTGGCTTTGCAATCTGAACAGTGAGGTTGGCTTACGGTTTGACCTGAGCAGGTTGTTTCAATAGTGTGCCTTGTCTGTTTCTTTTTATTGTTTTAGTACAGTGGAGTCCACTTATAACGAGTCTGGAAAAAACGAGAAGTCTGTTATAAAGACACTATTCGAAAACCCCATTTTTTCTCTTCTTTACCTTTGTAAATAAAATACTGCTATAGCGCTATCAGACAAACATGAGAGTCGGTTATTGCGGATTATTGCTGCTGCTATGCACAGTGCATAGGCCAATTATACATAATGCAAAACCTTGCCTGTTGAGAAACTTGTTGGTGATCTAGCGAAACAAAGAATGGGAGAGCCAATGTGTGTCAACAATGAAGGCCGGAGCAACTGAGTAGGGAGGATGTGGCTTGCGTAGACAAGCAGAACGCATCGCGTGATAGACCAGCGTAAGTCTAGTTTAGATTATAGAGGCCTACCATGCCTGTCACTTCTCCTATGTGTGGATGGAAAGGCCACAGCAATGTGATGGATGAAGCGAATGTGTGGTGATGTGCGCAAGCAGACGGAATGTACCACAGGGTGTGGTGGGGTGGGGGAAACACAGCGGGCCAGTTAGCCCAGAGCCCTTTCTTTCTGATCGCCAAAACAGAGCTGCCAGTCAACATCGCTAGCGCTAGAGAAAGAAAACTGATTCGATTTTTGATCAAGTAAGACCTAGAAGTCATGTTGAAACAAAATCATCACCAGGGGAGATAGTAAAAGAAAATAGAACATCAAACTCATAGATTAGGCCTACTGTACAGTTTCCCTTGAATTTATTACTGGATCCCTTATAGCGAGAATCCTGCTATAATGGACATTTTGCACCGGTCCCCTCCCTCTCGTTATAACAGGATTCCACTGTAGAGGTTTTATGGCACTCGCAACTGCATAAGGTCCTATGAGCGCCAAGGGGTGGATGTCAACAGAGAAGTCCATACAGGAAATCGGACTTACTCTGCTCACCTCTCTAGCTTCAGCAGCACAAAGTCTGCTTCGACCATCAAATCAAGGCACCCAGAAAACAGCGGGTCACTAGAGTGTGACAAACATACAAAAGAAGTAGAGGAAAAAGAGTAAGGATTAGGAGAGAAAAAGCAGCAGTTCCCTGTTGTAGTTCAGGCACAGTTATGAGCATGACGTTGGATCAGCCCATTTACAATTCTACTGTGGATTAGAACGAGAAATGTCTCCCCTTTGGGAATGGCCTAAAGACACTTCAGTCAGTTGCACCGGGGGGGTGGGGGGGTGTGATCTGTTGGAAAAGGTCTTTTTGTTGATGATTCACTTGTATTATTTAGATTTAGAGTTGAGATTCTTCTCTTTCTCTCTTGTCAGCCCTGAGGTCATCCCGCTGATAACTGTTAACAGAGGGCTGGGATGGTGTGGGAGAGAGATCATCTGGCAAGCAGCAACGAGGCAGTGTAAAGGCACAAATCCTACCGTTAATTTGGGGTGTGTGTGGGGAGAGCATGTCACATGAGGTTTGACATCCTGTGTGTGTGTGTGTGTGTGTGTGTGTGTGTGAGAGAGAGAGCAAATTCAAAAGCACAAGTTTTCTTTTTTGAAGTAGAATAATAAAAATAATAAAATACCCTGTGCATGAAAGACACAAAACGGATGGACAATCTTGTGTTCCCATTTGGTGCACTTTTTAATTTATATACGTATAAGGCATAAGATATAAAAATAATATGTAATACAATAGCTGACATGTTGAAATAGGAATGCCCTATCCTTCAAATTAAGATTAAAACTATTGTAGCAATCAAATGGACAATCAATATCAGTTAATATTTTAATCCAGAAAATGAAAATATAAATAATGACTGAATGAAAAAAGGTCTCACTTTTAACACTAAAATACTCCTGGAAAATGAGAATAATGTTACGGTACATTTAGTTTGAGTTATATTATTATAAAGCAATGAATTGCAAAACTGAAAAAGAGCAAGTTATTGACAAAATATCAAATTACTCTGTAAATAGAATTTAAAAAAAATTATTATGCCACTCATAATGTGTTCATGGTGCAGTTGTTGTACCCAATCATCACTAAATCTTAATTCTATACCTACTATGTACTACAGAATGCCCATTGCATCGAAATGAATTGAATGAAAGTCTCATTAGATCACATAGAATATATAGAGATCTAACGAATCATATCAATCTAAAATTTAAACAGAAATTCGCAAGGATTCTTAGGTTTGTTTTCAGAGTATTTATAATAATAGTTTATAAATCCACATATTGGTATACTGATGTTAAGCACAGAGACAAAAACTAGTCAATTGAATGAGAAAGATGCAGTTGAGTAAGCCTAATAAAATCTAGGCTAAGCCTACTGAATGTCGAATATGGCGAAGTGAATCGAACAGTCTCAACACATCGCATCCATCTAGATCCACCATATCTCACAGATCTAGGAGGCTAATTAACTGAAATTCATTGGCCTTCTTAAGCCTTTAGCTGTCCCCGTCGTTTTATGCAAGAAAAATTCTGAAATTATGCAAACTGAGCCCAAAAATGTGAAATTATACGATTCTGTTAATTTTAACAAAGAATGAGAAAGGAAAATACATGTAATCAGAAATTATGCAAAAAAAATTATCAAATTTTGCTAAATCATGCAGGTTGCATAAAACCCAGGGAAGAGCTTTAGTGATAATCCCATTTTGGCCTCAACGATTACCATATATATATATATATATATATATATATATATAAAACTATAATCCTAACCCTACACCTCACTCAAACTCTACCCCTAACCTATTATAATAATAATATACAAATACAATTACCATTCTAAATTCCAGTAGGCCAACTCTTGGGGCCAAAACCAGAGTTTGCCAGTCTTTTTTAAAAAAAGTGACAACTGAAAGTGGGAGGAGCAAAACGAGTTCAACTGACGACTCCATCTTGGGTTGCGTGCAATGGCACTCAAGGTTGAAGTTGAATGGACTGTCACTGTGGTTTTATGCACCCCGCATAATTTAGCAAAATTTGATCCTTTTTTTGCATAATTTCTGATTATTTTCCTTTACCATTCTTTGTGAAAACTAACAGAATCGCATAATTTCACATTTTTGGGCTCAGTTTGCATAGCTTCACAATTTTTCTTGCACAAAACGACGGGGACAGAATGGAAGAGAGGCTGGCAGGCAGATAATACTCTGTGGACGGTGCCTGTCATCAACGGAAGGTTGCTGCTGCTTTTTCCTAAACATCTAAGCCTGAACAGAGGGGATGTTAAAACTGCATAGTTATTTATATTTAGATAAAGATTAATTTGTGTTATATAGTGCACAACTCACTGTAAATTAGTTCATTAAGCCTATCTGTATGCCCTGTGGTCATTTTGTACCCCCAGGGTCATATTCTTCACATTTTAGAATACTTCCAGTACGAAGATGATCTCTGTGAAACTTTCAGTTTCAGTGTTTCTCAAAAAATTATTTTGACAGACTGTTATCTATGCAAAGCGTACGGATCGGATTAACGAGTAAAACATTTCGCACAGACTTCCCCACGTCGTATGGATACGATAGTAATACACGACGTACGGATAGGGTAAAAAAAAAAAAAAGTAAACTGTTTGCAATGGAAATTACGTCAAGTCAATACTCATTATTGTGGTTTTTGGATAACAGGACAGCCGTGATGTCCCTGTTATAGACAGCCATCACGTTCACATACACTGTAACTAATGATTAACCAATGGAATCAGTTTTATTACATGGATTACACACTATCAATTTATCAGTACCCGTACTTGTTACTGTTTTTTCCAGTGACATTTTTTCTCTCTCCTCATCTTTATCTTTCTTTTTCTAGTACCTTAGTCTCATGGATGTTGCCTACATATAGAGAGGCATGGGCACTAATAACAATAGTGTTTATTACATATATATATAGCACATATAGAGTCAACAGCATGTTCTGTATGCTTACCTACAATGATTCGTAATCGAATAGTTAAAGTTACCACATTTGAAATAGGAGCACACATAGATCTGTGGTAGATCCAGCATCTAGTGCCTGCTTTTAATTAAATCATTTATTCCCATAAATAATATCACATATATTCATGCTCCAAAGAGTCTACAGCATGTTCTGCTAAAGTCATTACGTTTGGAATAGGAGCACACACAGATCTGAGGTAGATCTAGCGCCAAGTGCCTACTTTCAATTCAGTCATTTATTCCCATAAGAGACTCACCCGACAATGTGAAGATGTGTTTGACCAAGGTCA